CAAAGTTGAGGGTGGAGTGACTCAACAGCTGTCAGTGGAACAGCTCGTGTGCTGAATTTGCGAGGTGGAATGTGGGGGATTATAGACTGAAAACAGCCTACACTGTTCCGGGCCATTTCGTAGAGCTGAAAACAAACACCAAACTTTGTCATACAATGAAAGAAAGGAAGGAAGTACCAGTTCACGTTCCGTTGGGCGAAACCCAGGCAGAAAAACACGCTTAGACAGGGAAGTTTCTTAAAAAAGATAAATGTGCGATGCTGACAGAAAAACCCCCCGTAAAGGAATGCATCGGCGTTCGGCAGTTCGATACCTCTGAGTTTTCCATTTTCAGATTCATTGTAGCAGCTGTGAACTGGGAGCGTAAAATATCGAAAGGGGAATTGCATGGGCTGGACGACTGTACCAGGAATTTCCAGTTCTCAAGTGGCAATGAGGGATTCCTTTCGAATCGCGAACGATTCTCCGAGAATGCTCTGTACGAGCAGGAGCAGTCGATGACGAACTGCGCAACACTTGACGCCATTTTGGAACAGGTGAAAAAAGACCACTTCTCCCTCTCGGCCATTTACTAGAGGAATGTGTAGAAATTTATTTCACGCTTTTATAAAAATATTCCTTTCGTCGTCAAGAACTTCTTGGGCGTTAAAATCCAAGAAATTTCATTTCTCCTACCGTTTATCTGAAAGAATGGCGAACTTATCACTACCAGGCAAGCATGCTGCAGTAAATTCCGTTTAAAATTTTCGGTGTTCTTTTTATCATGGCAAAATACTGCGTGTTCCAGATCTTATCGTTCGTCATACGGGATTTTGTTGATTCATGGTACAGTGGCCTGACAACGGATCATCTATTTAAGGAAAGTTTAAAACGAAGTGCTCGGCGCACAGTTGCTGCTTTCTCTCAGTGGTTTGCTTTTCTCAGTTTCGGCTTCTCATAACTCATGTAATAAGTGATTTCTGGCAATCGATCCGGGATATCCTCAGAGGAGGTCCTCCGCTTATGCGACAGTGAACCCTCCCCTGTTACTGCCTCTACAAAAGATGCATTTATGCAGCCCTGTCCTCCCCCTGTCCTCATTTTTGTTTGATTCATTGTTTCTGTGAGGCGCTATCTGTTTGCCTCAGTAATTTGCGTAATTAGAAATAGGTCTGCATCCATAATTTTTGATTATCAGAATTAAAATAGTACTAAATATCGCAAATGTTGTGGATCACTGCAGCATCCGGAAGATGGATTTCGTGCCACTATTGACGCAACACATCATCGACGATATTGCATCACATTTTCGGCTTTTTCGTAAAGCGAAGGTAAGGCACGCAGATTCACCAGCTTATTACATGCTGCGAATTTTGCATTGGGACGTATGGATTTTCCTTTCGATAACAGGCTTATTGGATGAAAACCAACAGCGTTTAATTAACGGCTTGAATCAGTTGATACACATATTCAGTTCAGCTGAAGATCGCCAAATTTGCACTTGAAAACAGATGGATACATAAGTACATGCAGATAAACACATAGGCATATGGAGTTCTTGCGTTATTTTTTACAATTACACAAATATAAGAAAAGACTAACTGAACCGGGATAGCAAATGATTCAAATATGCAGAGTTGGACAGATGATAAAAGGTTTGGGGAAAAAGAACTATTTTGTAAGATTAAAGGAAATACGGTGAAAACTCGAAAGACAATTTTCTCCCACAGTCTGCTCTCTGCGAAGGACGGAAGCATTCGGTGGTGGCCCGAATGATAGCTTCCATGTTTTGATAGGTAAGGCGAACTTTCTCTTCAGCGAGATAGCATGAAAGCCGTTTCTATTTTTTGGCAATAGTTATCTAAACTGGACAGTAGATCCTAACGAGTAGTATCCTAACGAGTAGTTTCTCTTCCTAATGAACTTGAATCACTGGCTGGGACTCCAATGAGATATCACATTCCACTCTTCCAGGCCTGAAATCGGTGTAGGATATTTCGGAACTGGGTTTTTTAACTTTGAATGTGAGTTGTTTTTGATGGGATTGCTTATTGCAGGAGCGTGCACAAGTTCACTATGGGAAGAGCTATACAACCGATGATTTAGAGACGATGTTTTTCGATTTGGAGCTCGAGATGGAGAAGTGCTATTGCAGGGATCTTGTTTCCACGTGTTCTCAGTACGAAAATGGTTTGTTTTTATGCGTTTTGTGCTGTGTAACAGCAGTACAAAACGCATATTGTCACGGGGCTGTCTATGTGTGTGTGTGTGTGTGTGTGTGTGTGTGTGT